GAGAGAGAGAGAGAGAGAGAGAGAGAGAGAGAGAGAGAGAGAGAGAGAGAGAGAGAGAGCAAACATAGATCAACTTGGTCACGCATATGGCTATGGGTCTGATTGGTTCAACACAGCGTTGGTCCCTGGGCGCCTTATTTCTTAGGGCCGCCTCGTGGCTAGGCTGCTGATGTCGTGCAGCATAAGGTAGATGGCATGCGTAGTGCAAACAGAGCTACAGATCTAAACACTCTTGCATTCTCGAGCAAGATCCCAACAACAATCATCTAATCAACGTAAAGAAACGCGGATCTCCACTGGCGTTGGTCCCTGGGCGCCTTATTTCACTGTGGCAGGTACGAAAATGAGATATGCTCAGGGGCAAAAAGATGGATCGCTGAACAATACACACGCATCCACCGTTCACAAGACAAGAAGACGGGGTCCTTGCATAGGGGGGGGGACTACCCAGGAAACTCATGGAAGAGTTCCGGAAGAAGTTCTTTCACATAGAAACATCATGCAGACTCATTCTCATGCAAGGGAGAGACAATCATCCAGACGCATCACCATTCAAAGATAGGGGAAGGTGAGGGAGGAAAGTTGAGATGGGAGATGACACAATCCAAAAGAAGGAAGTTCAGTGTTGCCGCCGTGCACTCACACTAGAAAAAGAATCTGCAACAACAAAGGCGCATTCGCCGTTAATTCCAATATGGCCCCGGGCCAATCACTCACTCAACTCCACTCACCGAACATCATATCCACACCGACGATCCCGGCCGTCATGTGCTAACTGCAAACACTCCGATCGTCACCCTGCTGACGTAAACTCGACGCGGTTCGCCCAGATCCCACAGTCAGTCGTGGTGATCAAGCGCGCAACCGGCCAGCCTATCGTCAGCTCGACAGGACTTTCCGACTCGCACCAATCTACTCTGCCTAGCCACTGCTTCCCGGAAGTTGGCCTAGAAGTTGAGAACGTAAGAGAGCTTTGCGGACGCGCTTGCGGGTTTTATAGTTGCGCCAAGGGAGATAGAAGGGGGAGAAGGCGATAGGCTGAGGTGTAAGAGGAGAAGCAGGAGGAGGAGACTTTGAGAAGAGTGCTCTACGAACGCCATGCTGATCCCTCGGAACTCAAGGTTCAACCAATCAGATTCGTCGCGCGATAGGAAGGTCCTATCGATCTATGGACCTGATTGGCGAGCGGGAGTTATCGGGGGATTGACCAGGCGTCGTACGCCAGACTTAGAGGGTGAAAAGAGAAAAAGGCGCGAGAGGTGACGCAAGACGGGTCCAAGATTCAGATGATCAAGAAAGGGAAAAGGGCGCGCGAAAGCAAGGTGGGAGAGAGAGAGAGAGAGAGAGAGAGAGAGAAGGAAAAATAGTTACGGGGAAAGAGAAAAAGGTGGGAGAAGGGAAGGGAGGCGCGGGAGGGAGCGATGCGGGGGACAGAGAGGAAGAAGTTTTTGCATGCATGGCGCCGTCAACAAAAAAAAGAAAAAGGCACCGAAACAGTTACAACTTGCTTCTATCTTAATTCAAAAATTGAAATCACCATATCCGCGCGCGAAAAAGGGACGCGGGAAAAGAAAATCCTACGCCTATTCGTATTTACGCAAAAATTCTGAGTGTTTTTCCCGATGCGCCTAAGAACATTCATGCACCACCCAAAAACGACACGTCAAAGTTTCGCTTATCCCGGAATTCCCAACCACTGAGCCCAATTCCCAGTGCGCTCGCTAAGGCGCACACGAATTCCCATGTATTTTCCGACTTTGCAAAAAGAAAAACAGAACTCAGTAGTTGAAAAAGCTCTTCAAAAAGGAAAATGCGACACCCGAAACCAGCACTCGAAGGCAAGAAATCAAAACGGGGCCTTCCTGGGGCTGGTATGATACAAGCAAAAGAAAGGGTACGAAAGATAGCACGGGGTCGGGGAGTGGTTCGTCACATATGTGACGCGCAGGGGTTTCCAAAATTATGCGATCTCCTGATTGCATGTCACACCGAAAAAGAAGAGGGGAGAGCAGAGTGATGCATGAGGAAACAACAGAGCAGAAGGAAGTACAAGGAACGATAACTTGAGCCGCGGATGAGATGGCGACAACATCTGTGGCAAGATCTCTGCAGCCCTGTCATATGCAACCCTCTGCCTCATGGAGATCGTCCAGATGACGCCATCATGGTCCACCCGATCTTTGTGTGCTCTAGATCCCTGCTCGTTGTCGTCCGTCGAATCAACGCGTAGGTTGACGTCATCATCGATGGCGTGATCTTCGTGAAGCTTACTGATTCAGGTGGGGGGGGGTCAAGTGAATGGGATCTACCACCGCCTAGTTGGAATAGGCCAGTAGAGGCGGTACATTTCGGGGATCTCGCGGGGATGACGAGGAGGGGGTGGGGGTAGGAAGCGATTCATCTCTTCCATCGTCACCGGGAGTTCCTCGTAAGCGGGGGAAATGATCACCACTGCGGGGGAGGGAAGCGAGGTAATCGCGATAGAAGGAGGAGAGGGTGCGGAAAAGTGCCGCTCGAAAGTTCTCGAAGTGGTGATAGGCGGGGATTGTCCCCGTGGCAACGCAATAGACTTCTACGACGTTGCTTTGCTCCCATGCTGTGCTGAACAGCAGGAGATGCCAGCAGAATGTGGGAGCAGCAGACTGAAGGGAGGCGTGGGGGTGGACGGTGGCGAGTAGACGGGTAGAGTAGAAGTCGCGGAAGATATGGGGGTGGAAAGGATGGGAAGGGAAGGTGACGGGGGTGCGGATCTGCTCGAGGGTCAGGAAATCAAGAGGTCGGCGGGACAGTGTCCGAGGACGAACGCCTATCGCCCTCATCGGTACGTGGGCGAACTGGGGGACGGGTGGGGCTGGAGGAGGAGGGGGATCGGCGCCGTCGCCGTCACGCGGTACTTGAGGTGGCGGCTGCAAGGCCGCCATCGTCGGGCCTCAGCGGCTCTGGATCCCTGGTCGGATTGCTACCGCTGCGCAAGCTAGCCTCGCTGGCGCACTCCAGCTGGCGCTTCCCAGCGGCAATTTCTTCGCGTTTTCGTGCCACTTCCCGATCTTCCACCTCCGTTCCCGTACGCGTTGCTTCTTCCGGCGGGGCTTCCCGCTCGGATCCGGCTCCTTCTTCTTCCTCTTCCTCCTTACTCAGCTCGCCCTCGCTATGTTCACTATAGCTTCCCTGCTCCGATGTTTTCTCGTTGTCGCCTTCTTCTTCGTCGTCGTCGATGATCGGCGCTTCTTCTGCCCTTGGGTAGAAGACGTAGGGGATCTCGTACGGCTTCAGATACTTCTGCCGCGATGGTAATGTATCCTCGTCGCTAGGTTCCTCCAAGCACGAAGTCCACTGAAGTTACGGATCCAAGGATCGCTCGAAAATGTACGGAGCAGGACTGTTGTCACTCTGAAAGTAGATGTCGGGCGAGAGGTCGTCCGCCAATTGCACGATCGGTGCGATGAGCTCCTGTGCAATCAACTGACGGCGACCTGGTTGCACCGATCCAAAGAGGAATCCAATAAGATCTCCTTCCGCGTTAGTCCTCCACCCCTGTATGATCAGCAGCTCCAGGTTCTCGGTCCACATGGGATACTCGATAGTGCCCGTCCACTTCACTTGTACTCGGGCCAAGTAGAAGGACAGCTCCTCAAAAGTTTCGCGCCACAACCGCCAATATCCAGGGTTGATAAAAGGGACCGAAAGAGGCTCGAATGAGAAGGAGGGAGAAGGGTGAAGATCGGATTGCCAGAAGGTGGGGAAGAGAGAGGGAAGACCAAAGATAGAAAGAGGAGCGAGGAGATGGGCGTGGTTCATTGGGGACGGGGGAAGGGAACGATGGCAGGAATCACAACAGGCCGCTCGCTCGGTGATCGGCGAATACCGTCAATATCTGATGCAAAGATCGGAATGATGTTATACCCTTCGCGGGCGAGGACGTGCTGCCACACATTGGACACTTGCTCCGTCCACTCACGCAGCGAGGCCAAGATCTCGGTATGCCTCAGCAGATTGACCGAGCTGATGTCGCCGGTGAATCCTGCCACTGTGGTGACGTGGCTCGTTCTGGGACCCGCTCGCCGATGAACTGCAGCAACCTCCTCGACTACTATCGCGTGAGGGTTTCCTTCTATCCGAAATGCGGCGGCGGCACAGACACCTTCGTCGCAGAAGAATCGCATCAAACGGCGGAGATCCGTATTGAGCCGAGGGTGACAAACTTGCCGAATTTTTGAGAGGTGACCACGTAGCTGCCGCAACTATAAGTCAAAAACCCGCTCCGCGATAAAACTCATGGCGAGGTCGGAGAGGAGGATGAGGGACAGGAGGAGGGAGAAAGAGGATATAGGGTTAGATCGTCGTCGTTTTCCTCGCTTTCCGAGGAAGAAGAGGGAGGAAGATCGGAAGGAGGAAGGAGACGGAGGTAGGAGGTATGTCGGACGATGGGGACGGGCCTATGGCTGGCACTAGCCTCTGGTGCGATGCGCACCGTGTTGGCGCTGTTGGGTCTGAGTTCGGTAACGTGAAAACAGCCAGAGAACTTGGGAGCGAGGTTCCGGTCGCGTGCACATTTACGTACCTGCACTAGGTCCCCCAATTTATATTGGTACTGGGGCCCAGCATTCCCGTTCCGAGCCTCATAGCTGCGGACCTGTCTACGATGGGCCAGTTCGGTCATCCTTTGCCTTTTCTGGGCTAGCTTTGGAACGGTCCGTTCTATTAAGTCGGCGTACCTCTTGGCCTTGGCTTTGAGGGCCGCACGCGTGTCTCTGCCCCCTGCTTCGACAATTTTCGAGTTACCCAAGTAATCGACATAGGGGAGGCTATTAGTTCGAAGCTGAAAGGGGGTGAACCCCATGGATTCGTGAGGGGTGGCCCGGTGGATCCCAACGATCTGATATACAATTTCGGGCCAAAGACGCGTGTAGTGTGCCGCTAAGTTCCTGCGAAGGGCGGTTTTGATCATACGGTTGGCATTCTCGGCCAACCCGTTCGACTGAGATACGTGGGGTGCCGTATGTCGGAGCGTGACGCCCCTTCGTGCAAGTACGTGGCTATTTCTGCGGCCTTTCGGGTCTTACAGGAATAGACTTCGATGTACTTTGAAAAGTGGTCAATCAATACTAATAAAATAGAATATTCACAGCGGTTTGGGCCAGGTGGCACGTCAATATCTGTCGTGTCCATACTGACTCGCTGGAAAGGATGTTCCACTTCCGTTGGTACGATCGTGTTTGGTCCCCGTATAGGGGCGCGATCAGCGACACAGACCAGACAATTAGCGACAATGTATTTGACATCATCTCGTTTATTGGACCAAAACCATCGATTCTGGTCTACAGTTGCCTCCGTGATACGTATTGCGAAATGAGCGGTCTGTTCCCCGTGAGCAGATCGGATCCAATCGTATTTCTGGAAGGGATGAGGAACTGTCAGTCATGAACCCGATCCGTCAGTTTTTTGCTTTTCCAAATGACCGTTCATCCATCGATAGTCCCGAGATCTCTCGGTCGCCCTACGTCTGTCGTGTTTGGTGAGGTGGCCCAATGATAATCCCGCTAATTTTGCCAACAAATTTTATCCGTCCAAACTTCCGCCCGTCGGTATTTTTCGTCGTATTCAGGACCGTCCGTACGGGCGGCCTCGAATCGAACCTCCGTGGGGAGTTTGTTCGTTCTACACAAGGGGCACTTCCATTTCTTACTATTCGTTCGATATCGTACGCAGGCCTCGTGCGCACGATTGACACACGTGGCACATTCTACCCAATCGACAAACCCAGTTTTGAAAGGATGACAGTCGACCCCATAAACCCATGCAATGCACGTGCAAAAATAACAGAATTTGTCGGGGAGGGTGGCAAAGAAAGTTGAGGAAGTAAGAGGGGCAGAATTAGTAGGAGAAGAAGGGGTAGTGAAGTCAGACGGGGTAGTCATGATGACAGAGGGGAAGAGACGGGTCTGAATTGTGGAGAGAGTAGAGTAGGCAAATTAATCCTTGTGTCACTTACTGCTTCGACAAAATCTCCACTTAGCCGTACTGGGGTCCAATCTTCTGCTCGGGTTCGTTCTACGGAATCACCTCCTCATTCCTCGAAACTTTCTCAGGCCGATGCAGTCGTGTCAATCCATCCGCATTCCCATGTCTCTCGTGCTTCCGATGACGGATGTCAAAGTCCATGCTCTGCAGCACCATTGCCCATCGCCCAATCATGCCCGAGTAATCCTTCGACCTCTTCAGAGCCAACAGGGGCTCATGATCAGTCACCAGGGTGAATTTTCGCCCATATAGGTAAGCACGAAAGTGACTGATTCCCCAGAGAGCCGCATAGCATTCTCCCGTCGGAGCGGCGTGGTTGCGCTTGCAGGCGGGTACTGATTTGGACGCATACTCCACCACACTCTCGAGTCCGCTTGGTCCCACCTGGGCAAGGATCGCCGAAATCGCCTCTGGCTGCCAGTCGGTGATGAGAACAAAAGGCTTTTCAGGATCCGGTCTTATAAGGACCGGAGCCGAAATGAGAGCAGCTTTGAGTTCGAAAAATGCTTGATCGCATTCCGGCGTCCAGATCAACGGTTGATCCTTGCCCAGGAGATTTGTGAGGGGCCCCGCAATTGCCGCGAAGCCCTTGATAAATCTTCGGTAATACGAAGCTAGGCCCAGAAAGGCGCGAACTCGCGTGATAGTGGTAGGCACTGGCGCGTCCCTGACAGCTGCCACCTTATGCGGTTCCGGTTGGAGTCCTTTGTCTGTCACCACGTGCCCCAGGAAGGAAATGGTGGCGAGGAAAAACTGACATTTCTCTAGCGCCACCTTGAAGCCTGCATCTCGTAACGCATGCAGTGCCTATTCGATGTGCTGCACGTGTCCTTCGTAGGAACTCGAATAGACCAGGATGTCATCCATGTACACAATCACGCAGTAGTTGATGATGCTTTGCGCCAAACGAGTCTTYCGCACGAAGTTCTGAAAAGCCATGTTCATGGCCCGCTGAAAGGTYGCAGGRGCRTTRCAGATACCCATCGGAYATCGAATCCATTGCCACGTGCCCTCGAAAAGCACAAACGCTGTTTTCGGTCGATCTTCCTCTCGGACAAAAAGATGATGGAACCCATGGCGAACATCAAACTTGCTGAAAAATCGAGCACTCCCAATCGCATCCAATAACTCATCAATCCGGGGGAGGGGATACTCAACTTTGATCGTGATGTCATTCAGCTTTCGATAATCAATGCAAATGCGAATCCCCCCTGCCTTCTTGGGTACTATCACTACAGGAAAAGACCACGGTCCTATAGCGGGTTCGATCCATCCATTAGCTTCGAATTCCTTAATTCGCTGAAAGGCGGCTGCTCGTTGAGCTGGCGAGTATCGGTAGGGAACGCAGCTAATGGGTGGATGATTTCCCGTAAGAATGGCATGTTCAATTACATTAGTTAACGCAATATCATTGTCGTGCACGCTCAGCACTTCTGCGTAACCATTTAATACACAGATTAGCGACTTCCGAAATTCCGCGGGAACCTGACTGGGAGGGGGATCGTTGATTCCCCGGACATATTAAGGGGCATATCGATCCAATCAACCGGCCGTTCCCGCCGCTCATTGACACTGGAGAAAACGGAACTACTGGTGCGAGCAGAAAAGACAGTTGCTATCATCTGGGACTCATCGGGGTTGATCATCTCCGTTTCTTTGGTTTCAGCGTCGGTCTCTGAACCAACCGAAGTCGGTTCCACAGTTAGTCCTGTTAGATCCGTCATTTCTTGCATCAGATTCGGCACATCACGTACCGGTGCTTCCGCGTCTTGTTTAATCAAGGCGATGATGACTCTTGTCGTTAGCAATGATCGGGGTGGGAAAACAGAGATGTCCAAATACTGTTCCGTTTGTTGATAACGCGTTCGTAAGGAAAGAGTTCCCTCGTACAAGGTGCAAGGGGGTTCCAAATCATCAGCCAGATCGGAGACTTGTAATATGGGTTCCCCGAGGAGGATAGAAGGACTGACCTGGGTTGTTAGAGGCGTGAATGTACTGTCTTCGGAATTCACGTGGAAGCTTCGAGCGGTGTTGGGGCACACTCGAAACTCTTCGGGGGTTTTATGTTCGAAAAGTTCGACCAGATGCTTCCATTCTTCTTTACTGGGCATCTCTTCTTCGTATTCTCGTTCCCTGATTCCCTCCCCCAGGCGTGAGGGGAAGCACTCCTCGGGATCAATGCCTCGGATCATCCTTATTTAGGGTGAGTTGGGAACCCGTTTTATTGTTCGGGTGGAAACCCGCAAGGGAACAGTCTGAGGTTTTCCCCCAGTTTGTGTGAGCACTAGTTGCTTTGAATTGAAATGCAGTCGTGCACCTACCGCCATCGCCCAAGGTAATCCCAACAGCACAGAATAGGAGCGTACATCTATTACGAGCGCGTTGACAAGGACGTGTACTCGTCCTACCTTTATAACCACGTTTTAGATAATACCTACGATATTCATTGCTTACTCGTTGGCAGAGACATAGTTGTCTTTTCCAGATTGAGGAAAAATAAATTCAAGTCGTCCCGTTTTTTTGACAGTATCTAACGATATGGCTACTGCAGAAGACCCTGTGTCGATGAGGGCGTTAAACGGCTTACCCCAAACTTCGCAGTCACATTCCGCACTTTTCCATAGTACTGGTCGAGCTCGTACGAAGTGATCTTTTTCTGCTAACGAGATGGCGGCTACGCATGCGGTTTCGGGTTCAGGTTCTTTTGTGTCTGGCTCGAGGGGTGCAACTTCCTCACCTCCTTCCTTCTTCTTCAACATCCGTTGTATGCGCTGATAGGTGAATCACTTTTGATTTTTCTGGCAATGTTGTAGAAGTTTATCGTTCGCCGCTTCAGATATGGTGAGCAGATGTCCTACTGGGATAGGTACACAAATATCTAATTGCTTGAGTGTTTTCAACACGTCAATATCTCCTGTCCGAAACTGCGGTCCGGGATTGGACTCGCGATCGACCCATTCGAGATCATCCTGGGCCGATTGGATCGCTCCGATCATTCCGGCGAGATGAAGGTACTCAAGGGGATCGACTATGTCAGCAGCGTCAGAGGAGGAAGTTCCAGATGTCGACGCCATTGTCGTCGAGGGGGAAGGTTGCTCAGGGGCGTATGCCACGAGTTCTTTTCCTGGGTCCGTATCCATCAGAGCGGCCACTCGTCCCTGATTAAGGGCGACGAGGGCCGCATCAAGGGGGGGCTGATTACGTTTCGG